GGCAAGCCGAAGGAGATTCGCGCCGTGCCCGTCTCCGAGCTTGGCCGGCTTGCGCCCGAGTTGGGGGAAGGCGCGGTCCTCTCGGGGGTTCGGCGCCCGCAGGGACGGAGTCGGAGAGGGGGGAGGGAGCTGGCTGGTCGGCAGGCTGACGGGGAGGGGAGGGGGGGAGAGGGGCGAAAGAGGTTGAGTAGTCAGAGAAGGTAAAGGTGCCGATGCGGCTGCTCGCCCTGTAGGGCCCTCGTCGCCACGGCTGGATGCTCCTCGAGATGCTGGTCAGAATGCGCCCTGGGGGGGGGTATCAGTACCGTTTTGTTGCCCGCCCTGGTAGTGGGAATGAGGACGAGGTGGAGGGAAGAGAAGATGATGTGGAGTTGGAGGGAGAGGAGGACGAGGAGGTACAGGTGTGCGTGGCTGCGTGTGTGTAGGATTGGTGGCGGCGTGGCGCAGAAGGGGGGCGCGGAGGGGCAAGCGTGTGCAGTGGACGGAGGAGGTATCGGCACCACCAGGAGGTTTGACAATTCATGCTGGTGGTGGTAATGGCGACGACGATGATAGCAATGCCGATAATGATGCTGACGGAAAAGATGATGGCTGTGGTGGTGGCGGTTATGATGATGTTGGTGATGTTCATGATGAAGGTGATGACGATGACGATCATGACGAGACGACGATGGTGATGGTGGGGTTGAGGACGCGTGGTGATGCCGATCGTGATGACGTTGATCGCGCCTCTTATGGCGCGATGATTGTCGATGCGATTGTGATGGCGAGGATGACGATTACGTGGATGCGGATGACGAGGACGATGATGGTGTGGTGATTCAACTGCTGATGTTGCCTTTGTAATGCTGATGTGTTAAATATTAAGTGTCGTTATTGTTAGCTTGCATGATGGCGACGGTACGCGCTGAGGTAGATGACAAACATGGCGGTGATGGTTTGACTACCTGAGAGTCTAAAATATGTGGAGCGGCGGCTCGAGCAGCGCGAAGTGGTCGGGGTCGGGGGACGCGGAGGATGAGGAGGAAAGAAAAGCAGGAGGAGCAGGAAGGAGGGAGGAGGGAGGCAAGATAGGCGGACGTAGGGAAGAGGAGGCAGTAAAGGTCGAGGATGAAGATGATGAGGAGGTGGAGGGGGACGAGGAGGAGAAGGAGGGGGCGAGGAGGAAGAGGAGGAGGAGGGAGGAGGACGAGGACGAGAGGACCCTCTTACATCCCCTCTCCCTTCTCCTCCTTCCCTGTGCTCCCTCTTCCCCCCTCGCCTGTTCCTCCCCTCTTCCCCCCTCGCCTGTTCCTCCTTCTTTCCACCCCTCTCCCCACAAAGCAATTCTCCTCGTCGCACCACCAGGCATGCCGGCAGAAGGGGCACGGCGTTTCGTGTGACATCTCCTCAGAGTTCATGGTCGGGAAAGGTAAACCGTGCATTGTTGCACGGATTGCGCGGCAGGTTTAAAAGTCAAAAGTTGATGTCTGGTTTCAGTATTCATTGCAATGTGTAGTCCCGAAGTTGTAGTTCCCCAGCACTTCTACTGGCGGAGAGTTGCATATTAAAAGTTCAGTGTCGCTTGAGACCTCCTCGCGACCTACATCTTTACACTTGCATGGATGGATGGCGGGACCCTTCGAATCTAGTGTTCTCGTTTGGTTGTTGTTTGCAACGACTGGTCCGAGTGGGTTCAATTCTCCCCCAGCTGCATGGATTGAGTGCGGGCCGTCTTGAATTTGCACTAGCGTCCGAGATATTCTCACAGCTTGCGATCCCCAAGGGTGAAATTTTGAGCAGCCGCGCTTGTGGACGGCGGGCTGCTTTCACGATCATGCTCTCACCTCTGCGTAGGGAGCGTTCTCTTCAAGAGTTTGTGAGATAATGTGCTGTGAGGGCGGGGCGCGTCTTTCTCTAAAGCGCATCGAGATCGGCTCCGTCCAGCTCGAGGGAAGAAACACGATTACCATGACCAGGATGTCGCGCGATCTTGCCGATGCCGATCTTGGTCATTGTCCATGCCGGCCGTCGCTGATTCGCGAGGATGATCCACGAGTCGACGATGACCAAGGCGGGCAATTTCCAAGATCGGCACCCACGTTTCTGCGCTCTGTCTTGGTCATGGTCCTCGTCTTGTTCCCGTCGACTTGCGGCTGCCGACCTCTGCTGTGATGCTCGGCTCGCGCCGCCCAGCGGCGTGCTTCCGTCACCGCTCCGGCCCTCCCAGAAGGGGCCGCTTCCTCCGGCGGCGCATCCCTGGGGCCCCAGCTCCTCCAGCCTTCCCCGGGCCCCGGGCCAGGTGGCGTGGCCGCTGGACTGTCACCAGTCGAGGCCCTCCCGTGCGGTGCCTCGGCTGCGCGTATACGAGTGGCCCTTGGGTGGAGGGGCCCTCGGTGCGGGCCCGTGGCGGGGCCCCGGGCAGCGTGGGCCGAGCGGTGCCTGGTAGCCCAGCCCTCCCGAGGACCACGAGGGCAGGGGTCCCCACAGCACCGGCGTGCGCGCTCGGATCCGGCCTGCCCGCGCGACCCCTGCCTGCAGCCGAGACGCCGGAAGTGAGGACCCTCGTGGGCTCCGGAGAGGGGCTCGGGTGTCCTGGCCGCTCCTTCGGGTCTGCGCCGTGCCGACCGCTGCTGAGCTGCCCCGCCGCGGACGCTCGCACGGTGGAGAATGCCCCCTCGCCGGTGCGCCCCAGGCTCAGCCCACTCTCGGAGTGACCCGGCGAGCGAGAGGAGCCGCCGGCCGCCCAGGGGTGGAGCGAGCCGCGCGGTGCGTCAGGGAGGCCAGCGCGGCCGAGGTCGTCGTCAGCACGAGCTCGGCTGCGGAGCCGCGCCTGCGCGCGGCCAGGGGGTGGTGTCCGCGGCAGGCCCGCGCTGCCCCCGCACCCACCGCTCCGGCGGGCGCTCGCCGGGGCGGGCATCGGAGGGGTGCTCGCGCGTGCCCTGGCGAGGAGGACTCTCTCGGTTGAGCTGGGGAGCTGCGAGGGTGTGCGCGCGGCACCGCTCGCTACGAGGGGCGCTCCAGAGAGGGGCGCTCCAGAGAGTCGGGGGTGGACAGAACCCCCAGCAGTGACACGTCGATTAGTGAATTGTCCGTTTTCGGTTCTCGAGACGGCGCCGTGGCCGTGATTGTCTTGGCTTGCGCCCGCCAGGTTTGGGCCTCAGGTCGTTTTCACTAAACCACGTTTTACTAAAGGGGGGTCTGTCCATCCCCGAGAGAGGTCCCGTAGGGGAAGGCATCGCTTCCTCGGCGGAAGCTGGCGCGGACGGCGGCGGAGGTGCAGCGAGGCCGCCTCCGCCGGCGGAAGGCCTGCGGAGACCTGCGGAAGTAACAGAGTTACGCCCCCTAAGAGACGGCAGCACTTTCTGGAGCCCGCCCCGGGGGGGAGGGACTCCGAGGGAAGCGGGGCCCGCGGTGTTTCGCCGCCTCCCTGGCCTCCCTGGCCCAGGACTGTCCGTGGTGCTTGCTCCATGTGTGCGCGGGCCCTCGGCCGCCGCGAGGCCTGGGCGACTGGAGCCGCGACGCCCTCGGCGGAGAGGCGGTGAGGCTGATCCAGCAGGCCCAGGGAGGGACCCCCCCGGCTTTGGGGGAAGGTGGGGGGAGGGGGAGGGGTGTGTGTGTGTGTGGGGGGGGGGTGAGAGGCGAAGGGGGAGGAGGGTACCGGGTACCTCCTGCCTCCCTCCCTCGCCGGCCAGAGAAGGATGGGACAGGAGCGGGCCAACCAGCATCAGCAGCAGCAGCAGGGTGAAGATCTCCTGCAGTCCACAGCGCAAGCCTCGGGGAGGAAGGGCGGCCTCCTCTTGATTGCTGGCCCCGGGGCTTCCTGCACGCACCCGACGGGTCCAGGCCGAGCAAGAGCCGGCAGCGGAGCAGGAGGAGAATGATAGAATTAGGTCGGGCATGTCCCTCTACAGGAGGAATATTCAGAGATCGTCAAAGAATAGTCAGGGGACGATTTTTCGATTATGTTTTGACTATTTGGGGATATCCTTTGGCTATAGAAGGAAAAGGGAAGAGGAAGAGAACCTGGAGGCGGAGGCGACGGGCGCGCGGCCGGGTGGTCTGCGCGCGCGCGCCCGCCAGAGGCAAGGAACGGGGAAGGAGAGGGGAAGGAATAGCGGAGGGAGAGGGGGCGGAGAGGAGGCTGACAGAGGGGGAGCGACCGCGCCACAGTCTATTTGATCACGGAGCAGGGGAGAGGCGCGGCGGAGGAGGAGGAGGAGCAGGAGGAGGAGCAGGAGGAGCAGGAGGAGGAGGAGCAGGAGGAGGAGGAGGAGGAGGAGGAGGAGCGGCGCCGAGGCGGATGGAGGCTTTGCGACGCCCACACGCAGCGGACTTCGCAGTGTCACCGATCAGACGGTCGAAAGCGAGAGCCGTAAAACAGGGCGCAGCTGTGACTAGAACCTGTGCGCGCGAAGCGCGTGCGTGGTTCCAGGTCTGTATTTTTGTAATCTGGGGACCCGTGCGGACCTCCCCCCCGAAACAGGATCCCCGGCGGGGCTCGGGGACGACGCCCCCGCAGAGGGTCCCGCGAGATTTCGGGTCTCTGGAAGTCCCTGCCAAACCGTGCAGAATGATCGGCGGCGGTCCCAAGGGACCCCCAAGACGGTTCAGGATGGTTCCCAGCGGCCCCCGACCCCTGCCAGTCGCCCGAAGACGGCCCGAATATCATTCCCACGAGGTTGTCGGAAACGCAGAAACAGTTTTTGTTTCCAGTCTTTAAGTCTGATTTTGGGCTACTCGTCTGTTCGGTCTTCCAGGCGTCCGAGAATGCCCGGGAGGCACCGAGAACCGCCCCGAGACGACCAGAGAAGGTTGCCTGACACTCCAAGCGAGCCTCAAGACGGCCCAAGGGGGTTCAGAAATTGTCCTTCCAAAGAGGGCGCCAGGACGTCGCAAGAGAGCCACAAGACCCAAGATGGCTCAAGAGTGCCCCAAGACGGCCCAAGAGGCGCCCAAGATCGCCCAAGAGGGCCCCAAGACGGCCCCAAGAGGGGCCCAAGAGGGGGAACACGAACCGACAATTCGAGCCTTCCGCCCCAAGAGGCCCCCAGGAGGCTACAAGAGGCCTCCAAGAGAGCCCAAGAAACCCTCTAGAGAGGCCCCAAAGAGGCCCCAAGAGCACCTCAAGCGGCCCCCAAGAGGCCTCCAAAACTTCAAGAGGCCCCCGGGAGGCCTCCCATGAATTCCAAACGAACTTCAAGGGGCCTCTGACCCACAACCCAGGTACGGTGCCGCCCACCACCCTCAAGACGCTGGCCCCCCCCGAGCTGGGAGGTGGCCTGGAAAACCAGCTCCGTGAACTGATTCGCTAATTACCCCCCCTTACTACCCCCACCTTTAGTCCGACCCGATCAGAGTGCAATCCGGGAGGGGTCCTCGCGGGAGCTATCTTGAGCCAGCTTGGGAGCTCTTGTGCAATTTGGAGTCCTCTTGGGCTCTCTGAGGCCGCTCAGCGGCCTTTGGGGGGCCTCTCGGGGGCCTCTTGGTGCCCTCTTGGGGCGCTCGTCGGGCGCTCTTGGGGGCCTCTTGGGAGGGCTCCCCTCCCCGAAGGGAAAAGGGGTTGTGGAAGAAATGCTCGATGCTAAGGAGGAGCGTCTCTCGCCATGAAGCAGGCGGGTCCTCGGGAGGACGAGTCTCGACATTGCTTGCGGTTGCCGTCGTCCAGGGGCCTCCCAGGGCCCAGGGGCCGTCAACAAATAATTCTGGATGCGTCGTCGCAGCCGTCGTCGTCGTCGCCGTCGCCGTCGTCGTCGTCGTCGCCGCCGCCGTTGTCGTCGTCGTCGTCGCCGTCGACGTCGTCGTCGTCGTCGCCGCCTCAGCCACGCGGTTGTCCAGTTGTAATGGTCGTGATAAGGCCGCAGCTACGCGGTGGCGACAGCACCTACGAATTCAGCATGCGGTTTCGACGGCTCTCATGGTGGTGGCGCGCAGCCGCCAGCACGTTCTGACGGCGTGGCTTCACCGCTGCAATCCTCGAGGGTGAGGGGCTCACTGCGCGAACCCAGTCAGTGGTAGCGCATTGCTGCAGGCACAGCTATGCGTTCCCATGAGACACAATGCTGAATGTACCTCGAAAGACCGGTGCATAGCAAAGGACCGCATGGCCTATCGTGGATCGCAGTGTTGCATGACATGGCACGGCACAGCACGACAGAGCTGACCGTGTCAGTGCATATCACAGTATGGTCCAGCATGCCATGGCATTGCATTCCATAGCAGTGTCCAGTTGAGCCTAGCACTGCACGACATGACGTAGCATTGCCTGGCATGGCATTGCATATCATGACATATCGTGGCGCACCATGCCATTACAGTGCGCATAATTACATCGAACAGCACCGTACTTGTCTGCGTAACAGTGAACAGAAATAATGCAAATATCGCACACCCGTTGTTGTTATTACTGTCGTCCTGTTATGTTAGCCTAGCAGCTCATAACACGGCATAGCATTGCATTGCGTTGCATAGCTCGGCATGCCGTGTCTGTGCATACCATGTAACGCGGTAGCATGGCTCAACATAGAAAACACATAGAGTTCCATGTGATTGCATTGCATACTGCATCGTGATACTGCGCTTTACAGCGTAGCATGGTGTATCGTGGCATTCCAAAGCATAGTGCAACGTGTCGCTGTAATGCTGCATTTTTCCAAGCCCATAGCTTGGCGACAGATCACCGGTCGACTGGCCCACGAGAGCGGAGGAGGAATGAGGAAGAGGCAGGAGGAACAGAGAATGTTGACCTCATTATACATGACCGCCTTGTTGTCCCAATGCAGTCAGCACTCGACCAGCTACAACCTAAGCGCGCGCGAAGCGCGCGATGGTTCTGTATGTTCATATATATATATATATATATATATATATATCGGAGGTGAGGGGGTGAGATCAAAGTGGAACGGAAAGCCCCCCTACCGGGAAATCGGTTTCGTTTTCGTGTTCGTGCGTGCCGTGCGTGCGGGCGAGGCGAAGCTGCGTGCGCGGGCGAGAAATGTCCCGCCTCTGGCTGAGGCGCCGCCAGACCAAAAGTCTCCGTTCTGGCAACCGGTGCCCCGCGGTGTCCTGCCGGTGTCCCGCCGGTGTCCCGTCGGTGTCCCGATGATGATGATGATGATGATGATGATGATGATGATGATGATGATGATGATGATGATGATGATGATGATGACGATGTTGATGATGATGATGATGGCCATGGTGGTGATGATGATGGTGTCCCGATGATGATGATGTTGATGATGCTGATGTTGCTGGTGATGATGATGATGGTGTCCCGATGATGGTGACGATGCTGTTGATGATCATGATGATGATGGAGATGATGAGATGATGAGATGATGATGGTGATGAAGATGATGATGATAATGATGGTGTCCCGATGGTGATGATGACGATGATGTTGATGATGATGTTGTTGATGATGATGGTGATGATGATGGTGTCCCGATGATGATGATGGTGATGATGATGATGTTGATGATGTTGTTCATGACGATGATGATTAAATGATTATGATGATTGTGGTGTTCCGATGGTAATGATGATGATGGCCATGTTGGTGATGATGATGGTGTCCCGATGATGCTGATGATGTTGATGATGCTGATGTTGCTGATGTTGATGGTGTCCCGATGATGATGCTGATGTTGATGGTCCTGCTGATGTTGATGATGATGACCCGATGAGATTATGACCGTTATGAACATGGTGATGATGGTGGCCCGATGATGATGATGATGAGGTTGATGCTCATGCTGTTGATGATGATGGTGGTGATGGGGATGATGGCGTCCTGATGATGATAATGTTGTTGATGATGATGCTGATGACGGCGACGGTGTCCGACGATGACGATGATGTTGATGATGATGATGATGAGGTGATGATGAGTTTGATCATGGTGGCCCGATGATGATGATGCTGATGCTGATGCTGGTGTCCCGATGATGTTCATGATGGTGATGGTGATGATGATGATAACGATTATGATGGTGACCCGATGATGATGATGATGATGTTGACGATGATGGTGTCGCTGATGAGGATGATGATGTCCCGATGACGCTGATGTTTACGATGTTGTTTATGATGATGGTGATATGCTGATGATGGTGGTGCTCCCCCGCTGGTGATGGTGTCCCGATGATGACGATGATGATGAGAATGATGAGCGTGACGATGATGGTGTCCCGATGATGATGATGGTGATGATGATCATGATTTTGATGATGATGGTGATGAGGTGATTGTGATGATGGTGTCCCGATGGTGATGATGATGTTGATGACGTTGATTATGCCGATGGTTTTGATGCTGATGACGTGGATTGTGAGATCGATTGTGATATCGATACCGATACCGATAGTGAGACCGAATGTGAGATAGATTGTGGGACCGATAGTGAGCCCGATAGTGAACTCGATTGTGAGATCGTAGTCATATCGATTGTGAGATCGATCGAATGAAATATATCGAATGATATTGATTGTGAGATCGAGTGAGTGAGATCGATCGAGCGAGACCGATAGTGAGATCGATAGTA